ATCCAATTCTTCACTTGGTTTTTATATACTGCGTGAATTTGAGCGAATTTCGTTGTTTGTTAACCGCGCTAGGTGAAACATCAAAGTATTCACCAAATTTTTGTAGGCTATTGCAGTATTGTTCTTCGGGTTGGGAAAAAAAAACAGACCCTAACCGACTCTAAATATCGTGGAGAAATATGCAGTCTCAGAGCAGTCCTGCATGTTGCTTTTTGTGGATTATATGCAGCAGTACTCGAACAAATATTTTCAATGTGCTGTGTAGTCCTCATACAGCTTTGGGTGAATTAATACAGTTCACCCTTTAGTGCTATAAAATGTTCTAAATATTTTATCGTTCATCTAGCATTAATCTTGAATTCAGTATGGAATTGGCTTCAAGAGTTCTGCTGAAGAAACCGCCGTGGTGCTTCTTGTCCAACTTGGCAAACGACGACACTAATGCAGCAGCTGACTGGTCAACCTTAAAGGCCAAATTAAACGCTTTTAATAAGTATTCATTAAGGGAATAAAATTGAAATGCGAACAACAGAAACCATGACGGAAATGCAATCACCGTTAGGGGGGCCTTCGCTCCACCCATGTCGGTCTGTACCCAGCCCGGACAGAAATTGGCGACAAGAATGCCGTCGGACTTCAAATCAATGGACATTGTCTTCATCAAGGAATTGAGCGCTGACTGCAAAATTAATCTTGTTATTGCATAAACCAAACCAAGGTTAGGTTACCATCTCTTACCCAACAGATGGATTTCTCATGTTCGCTTACCTTACTCGTCATGTAGGACAGGCCCTTGAGTGGTCCTGATCCAGTAGTGTTTTTGCTTATTGAGCCGTAACTAGCTGATATGTTCAAAATGGCAGCACGATCCGGTGAGAAATCTCCTTTCACCTGAGCGGCTGATTTACGCATTAGAGGCAGGAAGCTCTGCAATGTAAGCTCTTTCAGTATAACTCTGAGATGCAGTCCTGTGTGGCAGCATTCGTTGAATAAAAGTGTAGAAATTACTTGTGTAAGAATGGCCACACTGGCAGCATTCGTGTCGAGATTCGCCATGAAATCAGCCCTGTTCGGTTCTTGCTTTGTGACATACTTCACCCATACACCAGCGTTGTTCAGCAGTGTGGTGAGGCCTCTGTCGCCAACAATCTTCTCTACCTAAACTTCTGCATTCACAGCCCTCTTTCTAGCATTCGAAGGTATCGAATTCATCTTTGTCAATTTCACTCAATGTCAATCTCACTGTATGCGCGCCCACATTATTGAATGAATCACCTACGGTAGCCTCTATCCATTTTTTCTCAGTCTCAGGGGAGAGTCGCATTAGGTGGTCTGTAGAAAACATGCGCCCAGTTAAGGACAACCAAACGGCGAGGGTCATCTTTAAAGCAACAGTCCAGGCAGGGTTTCAACTACTTGGTCATTAGGCGGTCAAAACATGCCCCAGCCCAACTAAAGTTTATAGGAAATGTCTTTAATTTCAAAACCTACCTCTAAAATGCGCTGGAAGGGGTCGAAGTCCTCTTGGAGGGGGCGGATCACCCATAAAGAGGCGGATCGCCCAACATTCGCTGTGCAGAGCGCTTGCAAATGAGCTAAGACACGCTCTCGACTAGCGGTCGTTGCGGGACCGCCGCGCTGTATGAGGTCGATTCCATAAGAACCCAATTGAAGCGCTTCAATTTCGATTGCTGGCAAATAGTTATGTATTTGCAAGCATGCATGGCTATTTGCCAGCAGTCAACTGGAGCGCATGTACTACGGGCAGGTTCGGACAACTCGTCCAACACACATCTCCCTAAACGGCCGGGGGAGTCCCTGTCTAAGCCCCTGCCCGACGTTTTTTTCTACTTTTTCTATCTCCATTGACCAACTTCTCACTTGCCTAACGTCAACGTCATTATAGGTGGTCCTTACCCGCGAATATCGTTCCTGTAGAATGTAGCTTTGTAGTTTAAAGGCAGCGATTACGATAAAGAGGGAGCGCATCGGGGAAGCATATGCACCACACGAATCAGTTACTTGGCTGCCAGGGAAGCGAGGTGTAGCGCTTTCACGACGAAGGTGCGCTGGTTGCTGAGCAGGACTTCGAAAGCACTCCAAAAGCGATCCGCCCACTAGTTTAGTTGGTGATTTGGACGAGCTGCGTTGCCAGCAGCGGCACAACTGGAGCAACTCGATTGGAGCGTGGTTTGGCATGGTGCCACCAAACGCGTTGCGGTGAACTCGTTCATACGTCCGCTTTCTGAGCTGTTACCTGTTCATGAGTGAAAACCAACGGCCAAAAAAGGGGTCCCGTTTTGCGTTTTCTTGACGGATTTCTCTTTTTTTTCGCCACTGGCGTACCATTGAGCACCACCACGTCTCCTCTAACCTTCTTAAAACTATCGTAATCACTGCCTTTAATTCAGGTACACTTGGCATACCTGAGGTACTGCTTATCTCCATTAACAATTATTGCTTCATAAGCTGTCTTGTAATCACTTCATAGTTCTTCTTTCAGCACCGCCCGTTAAGAGAAGTTAAGCCCATGGTGAGCCTTACAATCCAAACTGGCAACCAGGTGCACATTGCGTCCCAATTTTCCCGATCGCAGGATCACCTAATGAATCAGTGTGGCACTTCTTCCTATATATTCTCGATCCTTCTTTCATTCAGTGGGCAAACCGTGGCGCAGCTCGAAAACATGAAGCTCGGCAAGAATGCAACTGATCGCGTGTTTCAGCGCTTTATTGAATACGACTGATGCCGCTATTGATGGTTTTGTCAGCATTTGACTTCCACCAGCAGAATAGAGGTATGTACTTGCGATCGAGCGCCTCTCTGAAAGCGTGGCTCTGGTTTGCAGAGTGTAGGAGTTTTGGATAGAACTCATAAACTTCCATACTTTAGTTTTTGTGCTTTCACTTTCAATCTTTTTTAATTTCCGTGCTTTCATGAGACAAGTACCTCCACATAGGCTTTCTTTATGGATTCATCGTTTGTTACGTCAAGTTGTACGAGACGCAGTCGACTGTCGTTCACTTGCTTAAGGTCCTGGAATAAACGGATTTCAGAAGCTAATCAATTCTTCAATCACTGTACGATACGTATTGCAATAAACAAAAATATATAACAGTTAGCATAAAAGCAGCCATACTGGCAATTCGTCAGCATTCATTTTCGCCTTGTAATAAGGGTAAATGGTTTAAATGTGGACGATGATCGCTGGACTGAGGCGATACCGAGTGGATTCCTCGACACGTCACTAAAAAAACATCAGGAATCTGGTAAGTCTCTCCACAGAAGCTCTGACCGAAACATTCTCTCTTGAGCAAACGAATCGACTGAAGTACGCCGGCAAAGACGACTATTAAAGTTACTGACCCGCTCTATTAACAATAAGACGAGTGCCCGCGAGGGTCAAGCGTGCTTTGAGGAATCCTCGATAGGACTCCGAACCTGTTCCCATTTTTATACAAAACCCCCTGAAAGTAGGTATTGTGGTTGAAGAAGTGTCAATGCAGCGAAGGAGAGTTCACGGCAGTGCTCAGGCAAAAATCTTCAACGAAGCAATTTTGAAATACGGAGCAAATCAAGCTTTCTTAATAATTAGATTTGCGAACATTCTAGGTCATGATGCCATATTAACTTT